ATATATACATACATACACATATATACACACATTTATACATACACATGTAAACATTGTGGGTCACCGCTGCACCTGAGCCGGACTTCCGTCGGATGCAAACGACGGGGCCCCGAGCTCCTCGACCGAGAGTGCTGACCTGCAAAATTTTCTGAACATCTATCTGCCAGTGTATGTAAATACACACATACATACATACATACATACATACATACGTACATACATACATATTACATACATACATATTACATACATATATATATATATATAGTAAGTACATACGTGTATATGTATATATATATATATATACACATGTGTGTGGATTTATGAACAGGATTTAGGGCCAGGGAAGGTGCTATGTTTTGGGTTCACGGCTCAGGTCAGGCATTGTTCCTGGGTTGAGGGTTTACGGAGGTATCCGAGGAAACAGCGAGTTCAAGAGGCTTGCGGGGCAAAAAGGGGTTCAGGTGTCCAGGATGTACGGTTTGGGACTGCTCTTGTACTAGACATATAGTAACGAAGGTAACATGGAGGCTGTGATGTGTTTACTATGAGGGGGCTTGAGGATCGTGGTGGTATCGCTGTCGTCCTGCTGTCTTCCTTCGACGTTTACATGGTGCGTGTCCTTCACTGTCTGGGTCTGCTCTGGCATATTGTCTTTACACACACATATATGTATATACACCTACACATACATATATATATATATACATATGTATATATGAAGTATATTCACATGTATTACAACAACAAGCTTCTGTAGACAAGGAATAGTTGAAATGTCTTCATCCCTACTAACCCTACTGGCTAACGAGGAATAACACCCATCCCACTTCTCCCCTCCCAAAGGCGACCGATGCACAAGACAAGCCACCAGACAGTCCAAACCTAAATGTTCGAACCTGGGCAGCTGCAAATTCACCAAACCCGCTCAAAGCCCTAAGCGCTCAAGCATACACTGAACTCGAATCCCGAGTAAACCCTACGAAACCCCAAAGGGGGGTATGGCTGAAGTCTTCCCATTCCCCCGAAACCGTAAACCCTAGACCCTACCCAGAGAGCCCAATACCCCTTAACTAAGGAATATACCTATTAAAGTATAGGGGCTTTGATATTATGATTTAAGGTATCTTCCTTAATTAAGGGGTATTGGGCTCTCTGAGTAACTGTGGGCCGCCTCCTCCCAGCCCTTGTCCATGAAGCGCTTGACCCTCAAGAGCCAGACTGGTCAACACAAAATACTTTCGGGGGTCGAAGTGGTTTAGGGTTTAGGGTTGTTTTAGGGGTTTAGGAGTTTAGGGCGTTTAGGGGTTAGGGCGTTTGGGGCTTCAGGGGTTTAGGGTTGACAAGCGTGCAAGTATGGACTTGGGGTTTGTGGCTTGAGAGTCGGGGAGCTTAGATCAAACGACGTTATAACGAGTTCTTTCTTAGCCATACTTTGGTCTCATGAAACCGAGGTCGGGCATAGACATGACCTCGGAGATCTGCATATTTTGACAGATACCCCTTGCAAACTGGATAGAACCCAGGCCCCAGGAACATACTCAGAGAACCCATGGCCCTCGAAAGCCCCCCCCCCTAAGCCCCGAACCCAGGAAATCCCAGAGGACACAGCCGTTGAGGTCCCGGCGCGACATCTTCCGGACTAAATTGCATGCCCGATGCTTCCCTACCTCCGTCAAGGCATCTAAGGACCTCAAACCAGGCCTCAGACTCTACTGTAAGGGCCTTAATGATTAGAGTAGGGTTCCTTGAAAAGGCTCCTTTTCAAAGGGCTTCTATAAGGGCTACTATAAGGGTTGAGTGTAGGGGCCTGAATAATTAGAGTTAGGTCTGGGGGGTATCTTATACTGTACTTAGAGTAAGGAGCCCCAAATAAATAGTATTGGTAATGATTTAGGCCCCTATATTAGACCCTTCGCACATGCACTAAGCTGCAACCCACAAAGTCTGGGCTCCAAAAACCGAGTCAGAAGTTGTAACATGGGAATGTAAACATCTTTTTTGTACGGTTTTCATGTCCGGCCCGTCTCATGCATAGACAACCCTTGAGCAAGAACAGCAGCAGTTTAGGGTTTAGGGTTCTTGGATTCTGCTTCTGGCTGTATAATGATAATGAAAACACTCATAGAATGCTTATACTATATATATATATACACACACACATACATATGTACGTTTGCGTGTGCATATTATATATAGTCCAGTATGTGGAGATATGTATATATATATATATATACACATGCACATATGTGCATGTGCGTATGTATGTGTATACGTGTAAACACATGTCTTATATATGTGTACCATCAAGTATGCACTGTAAAACCATTTTTGGGAATATGGGGCATAGTATTGCTACTTGTTCAGACGTAGATATTACGGATGTGAGGCCATGCATGGTCGGCCTTAGGGCCGCAGACTTGCTCTTGCTGCACAAGCTTTCTGCTGGTCAGGTCATGTTCATATATGCCGCACGTGCACTCGCAAACATGTAGAACCTGAGTCCTAAACTCTACTTGAAGGTTCATGGGTGGTTATAAGTGGGGTTATAAGTAGTTTAAGTATCGTTATAACCCATATTAAGGGACTTATAACCCCACTTACAACTACCCATGAACCTGCACAAAAAGTGGAACCCCTGAGCCAGCACGTAGCCCAGCCTCTCTTCTGGCCCTGGTCACGGCGCGAGCTTGCGATTTCGATGGAGCACCATGCACGCGTTCGGTTCGTCCAAGAGGTCCCCGGTGCATTCCTTAGAATGCATCCTTTGTATCGCCAGTGCATAGCAAGAGCTGGGCACAACTTCCTGATGTTCTGCTCACGTCATCAGTCACCAGGTGCGAAGTAAGTAGGTGTACACATCAACATATGTGTGTGTGTGTATGTATATGTATATATATATATGTAGGTATGTGTGTGTGTGCGCATGTGTGTGCGTGTGTGTGTGTGTCTGTGTGGTTGTGTGTGTGTGTGCATGTGTGTGCACGTGTCTGTCTGTGTGTCCGTCTGCCTGCACTGCCTGGCTGGCTGTCTGGCTCTGTCTGTCTCTCGGCTGTCTGCGTGTGTTCTTTCATGTACAGCCTGTGATGGGCATGGACCTCGACCTTACATCACAAGGAACACAACATGATTGCCAGTTGCCAAACGATCGAAAGGCGACCGCGTTTGGCCTAGGGCCTCCCCCGCATGCGCCAGAGGGCCCACCTCGAGGCTACCTCTGACGCCCGCCCTAATGGGCAGGCATCAGGGCACGTGAGGCCCGACCCGAAGGTCAAGAGGAGCTCGCCAGTTAAGGAACACGCCCAGTGAGCACGTTAGCCCATTGTCTCACTGTCATCCGGTCGAAGAGGTTCCGCGGGTTGGCCTCAAGCGTGTCCGGGCTGCCACATAGAGTGGTTACCTCCCGCCTGGCGCGCCCCACACGCGGCCAACAGTGTAAGGGGTGGCTCTGTCAGGCACACCCCCGGGTAGGGCCGTATAGCGCCAACCACAGATGCGAAACCAAAAGCCCGCTGATAGCTCCTCAGCCCAGAGCCCAATGTCCAGCCTCAACGAAATCCAGCCCTTAATCGGCTCTCTTCATGCAATCGGCTCTCTTCATGCAATCTTACACATCCTAACACAAATGCATCATGCTTTTATGCTTTTCC